ATCATGAAAAGTGACAGTACAAATTACATGCTACTTTTCTGTGAAAAAAACACATGGCTTTCAAAAATCTAATCAACAGACGTAGATTTTAATATTATTAATGCTATCAAATTGAATGTTTTAATTTATTTAATTGTATATATTATATGTCCACAAATTATACATTATTGAATTATGACAGACCTGTTCAGTTATTAATAGAAAATATTAAGAATCAGCTATTAGGGAAATTACTTATATTAAAAATTAGAAATCTATGATTATTTGAATTCCCCTTTATATGAAATCATCAAAAAAAGAAATTTCTACATATTTGTTTTAATTCAAAAAATTAAAATTAAGCAATATAAATAATGCAAGCAGATCTCATCTCTATGTTCTGATATATGTGCATGTAAACTGGACTACATCCTTGCATTTTTTACAATTACAGTGACCATATAAATTATCATCCAAATCAGAACACTTTTGAAAGCAAAAAGAGGCAGTAAAGTAAAACAATTATCCCAGGCAAATTAGGCATATGGTCACCCTATTTAGAATAGTTTCATCAGGTCTTCAATAACTAAAATCCATTGGTTGAAACTGAAAATTTGTCCAGGACAAATTTTAGGAAGCAGTGTGCTGTAGTGGCAAAAAAAGACTTGCATTGGTAAACAAGATCCCGGATTCTCATCCCAATTTGTTACTTATTAATACTCCTGAGATTCAGTTTCTTCATATGTTGAAAGAGAGAAAAAAATAATACTTTTCCCCACCTTGTGATATGTTAAGGATTAAATGAGAAAATGAACATGATTGTTAAGTGTAAACCACAAATTACCTATACAAATCCAATTTATAATACCAATCTCCACAATTTGACAAACACTATTCTACTTTTTAAATAGAATCAAACTGTACAAAAGTTTCCAAATTTTTAAAATATATTTCAGAACACAATTGTATTAGTCTTCTGAAAGTATTTATATAGGTAAAATAGAATATAATCTGCTCTCAATTTTTAAAATCACTACACTTTTACCTAAGAAAATATATTGGCTCTTTTGCATAGAAGTTGCAATATAACTCACATGGTAAATTTTTTAAAAAGGACTTTTTGACAATAAATGGATACTAACTAACGGGAATTACATATTTTAAAATGAATGTAAAGAAATGTCTTCATAAAAGCACTATATTAAAGAATCAGAAGTTCTCTACACAGTAGACTTGAGAAACATTTGGTTTTCAAAATTGAGTTATTTTTTTCAAAATCACAAAGAAAACAAAAAGCTCTTCCATCAACTGATCAAAACTGTGATCAGTTTTCATAGTTGTTCATACTTCAAATTATACTCTAACAAACATCACGATGGGCTGCCACTCCAGAAAGTGCCCAGATAAACTTGTCTTTAAGTGGCCAACCACCCACATTTGGCTTGGGATTCACTAGCATCCTCTCCCAAACACTTCAGTTTTCCTCAATATGGGACTGGAATTTATTTCCACTCTTAACAGGATCACTGACAGGAAACAGGAGAAATACTATAAGGGCAGGCCTGGACTCAGTCCAGAGGCAAGTACTCTCACAGTCATGCGATGGAATTCTGCCAAGGAGGGAAGTGTTTTTGCAAATGAACATAGTGCCATAGTTAAGTATAAGGTATTTAACTCCTTTGTCAACATCGCCAACGTTAAAAATTAAGAAAGTTATGTGATAAAAAATTTACTTGACTTACAACAACGTGCACACACTCTTTCAATTGAACCATAAGGAGGCATCTTGACGCCTTTAATTACATTTTTTTAATGAACTCTTACTATGAATACCTAATTCCACCTATTCCAATGCAGAATTAATGTAGACAAAAGTAAAGTAATTTTACTTTAAGGCCCTTAGTGTAGTCTGCAGGTGACAATAAATTTGGTACTCAAATGTGGTTCCAATTCTTAAAACCAAAATAAATGAATGTGAATCATTTTAATAGTACCACATTTAATGAGATGATTTTGCTCATTTGGAAGAAATTGGAGTATTCTCTTCATGTTAAATATATCTCTTTACTGTAGTTAAAAACTGGTTTTTTTAACTAAATTCTACACTTAGAATATAGAACTCAAACAGTTCCTGTTTGTTTTTCTTGACAAGTAAGTGTAGAAATCATTTGAGTTAAATTATACAAAATAAAACAAAAAATACTATGATTTTCTTTAAAAATCCTTAAACCTTAAAAGAGCAGGACCTTTAATGTTACTTCCCAGTCTTTTCCTAGACACATTTAATTGTGCACTTTTATACGTATTCATGCTTTATTTTTTGTTTTCTCATTTATGCTAAAGTTTGAAATTCCACTTTCACATCAATCAAAATCTGCATACTACTGAAACTGCTGCTTTTACAGCTAAAGTGTAATAACGTGTTCTTAAAATTTTCTTATAATAGTTACTGTTGAATCTACCACCATTTTCAAGTAACTGTTGTTAACGTCCAGTCAATAAGAACATTGCCTTTCAATGGATTGATTAGTTCACTAAGAATATTTCTATACTTACCCAGTGGAATGGCATTTTGCCTACTAGTAGTGATAAATCTTCGTCAGTTTTTGATTTCAACACATACGGAACCTGCAGGATTTTTCACTCAATAAGAAATACTGCCAGTGAGGGACAGGGGAAGAGGACAGTGGGGAGACAGGAGTGGGTAGACAGGTTTGACTCCTTCAGGGGGTGTCAAAGAAGGCTGCTAAACCCGCCTATGGGGCCTGAACCTACAGTATCCCCCATTTTTTTGCTCATAGCTCACTTTACAATGCCAGTTACAGAATGGATGATATTTGAGCGCTGGGTCGTAGGTACTTCATATACTAGCGACCAGCTACATGAAGTATTTAACTCTTCAACCAGGACAGAAAAATATATTTGCTCAGTTACTCCATCTAAATGGTGTGTCCAATAGAAATATAATGTGAGCCACATATGTGATTTTTAAATTTCTAGTAGCCACGTTAAAAAAGAGTAAAAAGAAACAATTGAAATGAATTTTGAGGGCCGGCCCCGTGGCTTAGCGGTTAAGTGCACGCGCTCCGCTGCTGGCGGCCCGGGTTCAGATCCTGGGCGCGCACCGACACACCGCTTGTCTGGCCATGCTGAGGCCGCGTCCCACATACAGCAACTAGAAGGACGTGCAGCTATGACATACAACTATCTACTGGGGCTTTGGGGAGAAAAAAAAAAGGAGGAGGATTGGCAATAGATGTTAGCTCAGAGCTGGTCTTCCTCAGCAAAAAGAGGAGGATTAGCACGGATGTTAGCTCAGGGCTGATCTTCCTCACAAAAAAAAAAGAAATGAATTTTGATATCATATATTATTTAACCCAATACATCTAAAGTATGTTTCTTTCAATACGTAAGCAACATAGAAAAAACTACTAATGATGTATGTTAACATTCTTTTTTTTTGTACTAAGCCTTCAAAATCCAGTGTGTAGTTTATACTTAAAGCACATCTTAATTTAGAATAGCCACTTTTCAGAACCTAAGAGCCATACGTGGCTACTGGCTACCATAGTGGACAACACAGATCTAAATATTTTTTTAATTATTATTTCTTTAAATATTCCATTAGAATGAGAATTTCACGGGGAAGTAATGTGATTTATATACCAAACTACTATGAGCAAGATGCTTAATTTCAGCATTGAAACAGAATAATATTTGCTAGGATTCTCCTTGCTTTGTGATGGAAACCAGGGCAATATTGTTGCTAAAAGCCCAGGCTCTGGAATCAGAATGCCCTGAATTTGAATCTGAGCCAAGACAAATATTACTAAATTAACTGCAAGCAAGCAATTTGCCCTTGATAGCCTCAATTTTTTATTCTGTAAAACAGAGACGATAATGATACCTACCTCATTGAATGAACTAGTATATGTAAAGCACATGGAAGACTGTCTGCACATAGTAAGTTACCAAAAAGCTTTAGTTATAATAATTAGTTAGATACGGTCCCCTCTAAATTAACTAGGATTGGCAAATATTAAAACTATGCTGCTGGCTTAGGAGTGCAAAGAATATATAAGTTATTTTTTGGAATGTATTATGTTTTATAAGTTAAAAGAGACACAAGTAATATAACCTCATTGTAAGATATTCTACAGGATAGCCAGGAACAGAAAAATATCTGTCAATTTTGAAGGTCCATGTGACATAGTTTTAAAAAGAAAAATACAGGCCAATTATTATTACCACATAATGCTATGTAAGAGAAAATTCCGTTTTACAAAACAAAGGAAAACTTTCACTCATTCATATGCTATTATTGTTTCAAAACAAACAGAAAACGTCCAGCTGATGTATTAAGAGAACTAAAACTTTACTTTGGCCCACTTCCAGAAAAATGTGGTCCACTATAACACAAATTATCAGAAAAACACTCATTTTATTACTTAGTCCAGAAAACAAATATGGCTTTGGCAGAAGTAATCTCAGAGATTTATCAAGTGAAATTTGATGATTTTTGTATCAACATTTTAGTATTTCTAAAAAATCATTCTAAAGGTTTGTACGTGTATCTGGATATGCCCTGTTCCAGTAGAGTTCTTGTTAGCAGCCCCCTTAACCTCCTTTTTTCCACTACTCACAAGCCCAGACAATATGGATTTCAAAACAGAAGGAATCACATATCATTAAATCCTGATTAATGTCACCTCACTCTGTCCAGTCTCTTCTCTTAAATGTCATAGCCCAGTGTGCAACTGTTGACTTCTACGTCAAGCACAGAGCAAATTAAATTTTAGTAACAAATATCAGTACCACCAACATTTATTGCATACCTTTAGTGCAGATATCACTGTGGGGAATCCTTGATAAGTTCAATAGTGACTTTGCTTAAGATCTACTGAATTGGGCTGCTGATATGGAGCAGACTCACTTGTTTAAACAATTATCATTACTTAAAATCTCTGATATTGAAGAAGAAACAAACGCAAAGTGGAATTTTAATAGCACATATTACTTACGTTCACAAGTGTCCCCTTTCTGCTGGTAGCCTGCTTTGCAGATACATTTTCCAATGGGCACTAACCATTCTCCTTCTGCACTGCAGTGCATCCTGGGGGAGTTTTCGGCCTCTTCCTCTGCACTGCTGACACATGTCCCTCGAACCTCGACTAAAGAGGAAAATTCTGAACCAGTCACTGTATCTGGAAAGATAGCTAAGTTCTCAATAATGGACCAGCACTTCTTGTAGTACACTTTGACAGAAACCAAAGCTATGCAAGCCCCTACATCCTGAAAGGCAAGATAGAATCCCTTTTTGGACAAAGGTCCAATCTCTCTCACCTCAGTGTTAAGCTTCATCTTTCTTTCCCCAAGGTCACCTTGGGTAAAACTTTCATCTGCAGCAATGGTGTCTATTTTTACATAGAGGTTTTCTCTTATATTCCTGCCAGTGTCGTAGTCTGTTTCATAATAGTACAAATTAAAGGTTTCCTTGCAAGTTCCCAGTACTCCAGGAAGACTGTTACAATCCCTCAGGGTGAATTTCAATTCTACAAAAATCCTTTGTGCATTGCCTTTCGAAATCCAGTTAGTCCGCAGCCAGTTGTTTTGGTTGGGCTCCATGACCTGGCACACCTGGTATGTTCGTATCGGGGTGTAGTTCTCATCCAAACCACTAATTTCTTCCCACTGTAAAATTCAGAAAAGGTCATCAGTCATTCAGCAAAAAATAACATTTTGCTTTTGAAAGTGCATGAGGAATCTTTAGTAGAGCACAAATGTGTATCTTGGAAAGAGTTAGGTGGACTGCTACCCCGGCGAACACTGTAGCCTGAGAATACAGGATTCTCATTCAGCTTCATCCTGGTGGCAGAACATCATTTAGGTTGCTTGCATTATTTGTACTTACAATAAATATTTCATTTTGTTTAATATTTGTTTGCTAGCGTATTAGTGTTTCTTTTTACAAATTGGCTTATGTCTATAATCCCCATTATAGAGACTGTAATTTTTATAGACTAAAGCACACGACACAATTACTTAAATTACCATTTAATGCATATACAGATGGATGCATGGTAGAATTTTTGATAACTCAATTGATATTTTAAGTGTTGATGTTATACTTCTTTAAACTTAAAGAATACCTGAAAACACAGGAAAGAAAATAGCAAGAGTACTCTGAAATGTAAAAGCATTCCACAACATGTTGACATTCATAATGTGGAATTTTTTACAATCTTTCAAAATGCGATGTAACGGAGTAACATTTTACAGAGCTATTTATTTATTGCAGTGTTATGTATAATATTGTACATAATGCCACATAACTGTAAATAAGTAGTTACAAAAGCATGATTCATCTTTATAAATAAATTGCTTTCAATAGACAATCAAATGTACATAGCAAATCAGCATGCTGGGTCATATTTCAGTAACGAGATGACAGGAAGAATATATTAGATGTTTAAAAATGTCCATTCATATGCTGATACAATGTATACCACAGCAAACTCATACATTTTCACAAAAAAGGAAAGTAAGTTTGGCAGAATTTGTAACAATTTAGAGATTATTAAACCATGTATAATATTACCTATATCGCTCATTAGTAAATAAATTAATTTCACCTAAAAATAGCCCTTAAAAACCTAAAATAACAGTTTATATCCTTTCTTACCATTATTACAAAATTTTCCACTTTATGTTTATGATACCATCATAAGAGATTTGGTTATCTACTTGTATTCATTTCCCCAATATGAAATGCCAAATACAAAAATATGTTAGTATTCAAGTCCAAAGTCACATAGCATGCAATATTTAAACTATTGTTTCAAGAAAAGTAGATGGGAAACTAAACTAATAAGCATGTGATAATGAGTTTTATTTGTAAAACTCGATCAGAGAATCAATTTATTTACTTAGATTAGAAAACTAACAAGACTGACAAACAGCAATATACTATAATTCAGAAATTTCTTGTGATGTTACATATTTGCTACAATTTTATTATACATATCATCAAAGGTCCTCAAAGGCAGCAAAGAACCCATGATCATGTTCAGCTTTTACTCAACACAACTTGAGTTTGTGACTAGTTCATGGTGTGCATATTTTCCTTTGTTTCAGTTAGCTGCTTGTAATCTGTTTGAATGGCACTTAGTCAAATATACCCAAATTCATCCATTTGGACAGGTAGATTTTAGTCTCTTAATTAGACTGAAATTATTACAAGAAGTAAAACTAGAAATGGTATCTACCAAAAACTCAAAAATTCCAAAGATAAATGTGCTCTTTTTAACAATTCCCTAGTTAGAAGAAACCAAGGCTAATTATTAGAAAGGGATATATCTCAAGAATTCATTTTTCTAACTTCAAGACCAATTACACTATTTTGTTCTACGTATGAAAAATCAATTATGAAACCCAGGTAATTTTAATTTTTATTTAAAGATTTACTCCTGAGGGGAAAATTTCAAGACAACTATTGTTAACAAATAGTGAGACAACACAAATGTATTTAACGCAACTCTTGTGTTATTATCTCTCTTTCTAAGAGACAGCAATCGTTTCTATAAATGACACCACTGGGTAAGAAGTCTTAATTCAGATACTGTGCTTTTATGATATGCTTATAAAAATATTTTCTAGAAACTTATATCTTATTAACATTTTATTTGCAGTTAGATATTTAACCACATTGGCAAACCCATTTCACATATGGAAAATATGGTCAATCATCATTTTCCAATATTATCTGTTGATTCCTACAGATATGTAGAGCTGTTAACTCAAGATACTTGGAACAAAATGGCCATTTGAGTCCAAGATAACACAGACAGTCATAATTTATCATTCTGTGGATTACATGGATGAAATTCTACAATTGTATATCAGTTTACTTCTCCTTAGAGATAAAAACCATTCCCTATCTCGATTTGTTTTAATTGATGGATGGTAGAAAATGGGCTACATCTGTCATTGGCAAGAGAAGTGTTTCATTTTTTATTGTGAATGTCTTCCTATAATGTATATTATTTTATTCATGGAAATCACTTCACTTTCAAGAAAAGTATGACATTCATCCCTTAAACTCAGTACACTTTTTATATTTAATCTGTAAAATACTTATCAGTTTTTCATAATTTATTCTGACCAATACAGATAACTACAATATGATCTTAAGCAATCTCTCAAAAATTAATTTAATGAAAAATCTGAATATTTTAAACAGATTTGCATTGTTCACATTTTACATTCTTAAACTGACTTCCAGTTCATGTCATACTGATTTTATGATGTTCTGATAATCAAAAATCCTTTCTAGACTTTCATTCTCCTCTTTGCAAAATCTGTTAACTTTTTATATGCTCATTTATACTTCATGCGCTTTGACTCCAGATTTCTTACTGTCCCGAAGATTAACTTGCATAACAATGGGGTATATTCTTCTTTCTCGAAGCCCTCTTCCTTAAAAGGGATGAAGCATGTGCCCTCTCTCACAATTAAAATAAGACCTGAAGACATAGATACTGAACTAAATTTAAGCAAGTAATATAGCTTTCCTGATATATGAAACATAATGGTCAGAATTTTTTAGAGTTTACTTATGTTTTCATAGATTTTTACTGGACAGCTTTCACTCATATTTATTGTAGCAGATTTTTACTGTAATATGTGCATGCTCTGCCATCACTTCTGATTAATAACAGCAGACAGAACATGATATAAATGTGGAGAATCTAAATAATATTTTATAGCAAATGTTATACTAAAATAGTGAGCATATTACATTTTAGTTACCTTTTAAAGTATATTTTGAATGACGCTAAAACTATTTTTAAAAGGGGAAAACAGATTACATACTGTTTTAAAGAACTACACACAACCTATCTGGTGATTATGCTATAGCAGTATAAAGCAACTAAAAAGGTTTAAGTGAGTTCGTGAAGGAATGATCCCTGTAATTACTTAGCATTTATAGCCTGGAACCTCAGGTATGATGCACTCACATTATGAACTCAAAAGATTATGGTTATTGAGATTTTTTTAATCCATTTCCCCAAATGCTAAATATACCTTCTCTACTCAAAGAACTCAATGTCTCATTATAAACACAATAAAATATTGAACAAGATATTTGGAATTAAAACAGTTTAAATATGAAGAATGTGAATAATTCCACTCGGGGAAGAGGGAAAAGATTTTGCTTCTTATTTTAAAAACTAAAGGGTAATATTTTATGAGGAGAAGCCCTTACCCCATTGGGCGGAGAGGAAATCCATTCCAACTCTGTTTGTTGTGCTTTCGAATCCAGCAGCAGTACTGAAAAAGGAAGTTTTATTTCTGTTAGATGAAAAATTTAAATTTACACATTTGTAAAAGTTATTAGGGTGAATCTAATTTTTAAAATAATTACCATTTTATGACTTAAGATATATAAACAGTTATTTATGTAAATGAATGGTGAAATGAATACCCACCTGAAACAAGTATATTGGACTTTCTTATGGAGAAAAGACATTAAAATACCAATATTACATTTTTTAATTAAAATATTAAATTAAATTTAAAAACTCAAAAGTAGCATGAAAGCAACAGTAAAAAATTGATATGATATATTGATTCTATAGTAATTATATATTATAAAGGGTTTTATAAACCATTGAGCCCTCCAAACTTTGTCAAATGTAATAATATGAACATAATACAGTGTAATTCCATATTACTCTGGCCAGTCGTTAATTTGTAGTATTCTGCCAAAAGTATTTCCTAGTGCCTTTTGAGAATTGGAGCTTACTTTTCTTAACTTTCACATACAGTGTCTTCTCTTAAGCCAAAATGAATACAATTAAAAACTATATTGAGCAATGTTATCATGAGAAAAATAAATTGCATATTATTTACAAAATATATTTCTGCATTAGTCAAACACCTGTTTTCAATATTTCTATTTTTTTAATTTCCAAATATTTCAAAGCATTAGCTAATTCTCAAAATGGTATATTTAAACTTTGACTTGACTTTTTAAAATAGTTATATTCCACTTTTACACTATCAAAAAGCATAATGCAATTAATTTAATATGTATATAAATATAATAAATGCTCCTGATAGTATTAATGTAAGATAATGCATTCAAATATCATACATTAATATATATTATATTTCCAATTTGATATATTTTATTGCTTTTTAGGACAACTACCTTTCTAAAGCATTCACTCTGCTCAAACTGGTTTCAGAGTTTTAGAAAACTTAACAGTTCAGAAAATTTAAAAGTATTTCTCTGACTCTACAGCATTTTAACAAATGTATCAATTTGTCCAGAAATAAAAGTGAATATATTTTCAAGTATGTAAATATGCTTAACATCAATCTCAGCAAAATGTTATAATCTGGACTTAAATAAAATACATGCTTACATGAACTTTTAAATAATCACCAGAGGAAAAAAATGTGTATTTGAAACGTAATGAAAATTTGTTATGCTAAGAAAACAAAGGAACAGATGATTTGGGGTTCCACTCCTTCACCGTTGTCAAGGTTATTCCCTATAACTGAAAACAGATATAGAAACACTTTTTTTTCGAAAATGTTTTATACTTAAGACGTTCAGGGAGACCACGACAGCACAAACCTTGGTACCAAACACTTGACTCCCTTTCAAATAAGGGGGAAATCACACTTTACCATACCAAGTTGTATTTCACAGAACATCAATATATTGTTGGACTAGCGAATTTATATTTAGTAATTGTTAGACTTTATTTTGTTTTTGTCCTCAACAATAGAGAGAAAGCATGAGGAAACAACGTGGGCTCCAGGTAATCTCCCCTTGAGATGATTTATTTTCTTATTTTTTTGTCTTCCGTACTGGCAAGAGACAAGTGGATCTGTAACCCAGGTGACCTTCCTGGGTCGTTTTTGAGAGTGAAATAAGCATTGCGATTATTGTTTATTGCCGTTCTGTTACCACTCAGCGCAGCGTAGGGTGGGAGCCAGGGACCGCGGTGGGGCGGTGATGGCAAGCAAGCTAAGAGAGAAACAAACTAACAAAAACAAAACGGAAATGGCCCCTAAGCGTTTAATCGGAAGCAGCTCTAAAGTGATCAGCGTGTCTCCCTCCGGATAAAGCGCAAGTGCGCGCTTTTGCCTTCCCGCTCAGAGCACCGAGCGCCATCCTCCCTTCACGCCCGCGGAGGCGTAGCCCGG